TATGACTCTCCGAGGTGGATCCTTGGCGCCGTGGTGCGCGCGTTAAACGATAATACCGATCGCTGAGGTCCTGATAGCCTCTTAACGGGGCGCAGCGGGGTCGCCTGCTCGCGTCCCGGCCCTAACGGGAGGAGATAGTGTGTGCTCCTCTCTCAACGGAGCAAAGTGTGGTGGTTGGGAAACCGCCAGCCATTTTTCAGCCACTTCAATACACGATCTCTGTTGAGTTAGTAAATGGGGTTTGTGTGCCTGGGTGACCCTTTCCAGACACGCAGACTCAACTCCTACCCGAGGCCTGCACGTGGCACCGCCGCTTATAACTGACACGGGAGGGGGGGACGTGCCTAAATTAGTATGCCCCGGAGATGGCTGTTGCGGGGTGACCGCCTCGTTGGCACATTCCTAATTCTGCGAGGCCCAGCGCGTTTCCACTATAGTCTCCCGTTCGGCTGTCTCTTCGCGGCTTTCAGTCGTGTTGTTGGCAGTCGGACGGGAGACTTTAGTCAGGCTTGTGAACCGGGTTTGCTAGATTCGTCTAGTATGCGCAGCGTCCTAGATCATGGGGCGTAATCCGGGCTAGGTTCGGGTGAGATTCCTGAATAGTCCCATCGGGTGGCAATATGTCGCCAAGTCGAACCGCTGACTTCGGTCGGGACAATACGAGATGCGGTAGGCGAACCAGGTGGCTGGGCTTGCACCCCGGCCACATTGGGCACAAACACAAGCAATGGACAAAGTAAGGAATGAAAATGATTTATTTTGCCACCCTGGCCTCCCACAGGAGCCGGGGAGCTTGGCCCAATCTTCGGCCGCTCAAGCTGGGGCTCCGGCCACAGTTTCCGCGGTCATTGACTGGACTTGTCCGGTGTGTGGACGTGCGTTCACCACCAAAACGGGGTTGGGGGTCCACAAGCGTAGGGCCCACCCCGAAGTAGCAAATGCGGAGGCCGCTCCAAATATGGTGAAGCGCAGGTGGCGCGATGAGGAGCTGGCATTGATGGCGCGTACAGAGGCGCGATTACTGGAGGAGACCGGACGATGTACGAACGCAGACCTGTACAAAAGCCTGTCGGGGTCCGAGCGGACCCTAGAGGCAATCAAAGGAAAGAGGCGCTGTGGGGAGTATAAGATCCTGGTACAAGCGTGCCGGGAAGAGTACAGATCCCCACCAATAAGCAGCCAAGCGCCAGAGAACAGGGGTTCGACACGGCCGGAATCTGAAAGTGTCGAGATGCCGGTCCAGCCTCTGCCAGCTGAAGACGCACCGCCTGTCGCCGATGATCCATCACCGCACTTAGGTGGTGCCCCAGATAACACGTGTGCAGACCAAATTGTCGCGGATCTTCTAGCGAGGGCCGCGGTGAGGAGGTCGCGACACGGCCTGGGTTCCCGTAGTGCGAGGCGGCACCGCATACCGAACGTGACTCGGGCCGACACCGCACTGGCCGGTTTGTCGAGCCGCAAGAGGAGGAGAATAGAGTACGCCAGGGTACAGGAACTATTCCAGAAGTGTCGCAGTCGAGCAGCAGCCGAGGTGATCGATGGAGTGCACAGGAGCGTCCGGCACTCTCTCGAAGATTTGGAAGCCTATTGGCGACCGGTCCTAGAGAGGGTGTCTGATGCCTCAGGGCCTACACCGTCTGCTCTAAACGCCTTACGGCGGGAGGAGCAGTATGGGGGCGCACGCGATTACTCTCGGCTGTGGATGCCTTTCACGACCGACGAAGTGAAGGCGTCCAAGTTTGACTGGCAGACAGCGCCTGGTCCGGACGGTATCCGTCCGGATGAGTGGCGCCTAGTTCCTGCGGCCCGAAAAGCGGAAATTTTCAACTCTTGGTTGACCACTGGCGTAATACCAGAGCCCCTGCGGCAATGCCGGACAGTCTTCGTGCCGAAGATGGATGATCCTGCTGGGCCGGGCGACTATCGACCGATCTCGATCGCCTCGATACCGCTTAGGCACATGCACTCGATCCTGGCGAGAAGGCTTCTGGATTGCTGCCCCCCCGATGCACGACAGCGTGGATTCGTCCGCGCCGACGGCACGTTGGAGAATTCCGCCGTGCTGGACGCGGTGCTAGGGGATAGCAGGAAAAAGTTAAGAGAGTGTCATGTGGCTATTCTCGATTTCGCGAAGGCGTTCGACACAGTGTCTCATAGAGCGCTGGTCGGGCTTCTTCGGGCTCGAGGGTTGCCCGTGGCATTCTGTGATTACATCCACCGGCTGTACGACGCGGCGACCACCAAGTTGGACGTCGGCGGGCAGTCGGGTGAACCTGTTAGATTGGGCCGAGGTGTGCGTCAGGGAGACCCGTTGTCGCCCATCCTGTTCAACATGGCGATGGACGTAATTCTTGCTGCTCTACCGAAAGAGGTAGGCTATAGGCTAGAGATGGAGCGAGTCTCGGCTCTAGCCTATGCCGATGACCTAGTCCTGCTTGCAGGCTCAAAGGTAGGGATGCAGGAATCCATCGACCGTGTGTTCGAGGTTGCGTCGTCG